CAAAGGTGTGCGCAGGTGAAGGGCCTCCTGCAGCAGGTAGCTGAGCTGCAGGACAGCAAGGAGGCTGCTTGGTGGCACGGGGGCAAAACACGAGCAAGACTCGCTGCCGAGGACACGCGGGCTGTGCCCTGCCAGCCGGGTACTTGCCCCCGGCACACACAGGAGGGAGGGCAGCCGCTGGAGTGCAGCAGTGAAAGGCAATAGGAAGAAGAACTAAGAGAACAAGCAAGAGGAAAGGCTCTCCCTCAACATCCGAGTTGCCCTTGAAGAACCAGTCACTCCTCTGCAGACAATAGAGGTTGAAAATAACCAGCCCACACTGGTGCTGGAGCAGAGTAAGGTAGCCCCATCTGCTCCAAGTGTTACAACCAGCACCTTCAAGAAAAAGCAACAGGCAATAGTAGTAGGTGATTGTCTTCTCAGATGCACCCGGTTGCACACCAGACCAGCTCTCTAGAGAGGTCTGCTGCCTCCCAGGAGCACCTGATGATCTTTAAGGTGCTTTCCAACCTTAACCATTCTATGATTCTATTCTACGATTCTGTAGCCCTAAGTACCTTCTGGCTGTAAATAAGGTTCCTAGTCATCAGAGCATGCTTTCTCACCTGCTCCCCATCTCTGCCAGCTTACCATCGATGGAAGGCAAGCTCCTGAAGGGTAGCACAACACAGAGACAGCACAGCAAACAAACAGGCAGGATAACTCGGCACTTCCATCCCAAACGCTTTCTGGGAGTCTACACAGGCTGGCTGGGCTGTACACACCAAACCAATGCACCCCACCATCAGCATGGAGCCACCCTGCAGCCACCAAAACCCCCTCCTTCTCTTGGAGCAATGTAGAGAAACCAAAAGAAACAGAAGAGGTTCTTCAGGGTGAGGTGGCATCACATTCCCATGGTAATTCAACAGACAGACGTCACTCCACTGCCTTGCAGAAGCAAATGTGTCCATGGGCATCTGCCACATCCCAAATTTAGAATCATTTTTAACAAGCTGGAAGGAGCAAAATAAACAGCACTTGATCTGCAGGCTCCCTATTCTTGACAGCATCCCCAGAGGTGGTGGAAAGCCAAGGAGATAGCTCCTTACTTTAATTGGTACATTAAAATTCTTCCAGACCACTACACAAATGTTAATAGGCAACTTAATTAAGCACTAACCCAGTTCATATTTCTACTCTCCAGAGGTTCTTCTTTCATTTTTTTTTCTTATTACATACAAAGCCATGGGGAGTTTTGTCCTAATCATGTAAAACAAGCTGAGGGCAGTAACACCAGGCAACTTATTTAGCTCCTGATCTCCAGACACCTCTGCCAGATGCCCAGGCTTGCAGTTTCTTTCCCAAAAAGCACAGAGGACTCTGGGAACAAGGTGTGAATTGCTACAAGTCAGCAAAAATTAATGGCAATAAATTCTTAGCTCCAGCAGCCAACTCACCCCCACTGAGTGCAAAAAGCAGACAGTGTTGGGCAAAGACAGGTCCCCTCTAGGCACCAGATGCCAACAAGCAGGTGTCTTTTGGACAGTTGCCTGGATGATTCGGGAGCCTTATTCAGCTTGTCATGAGCATCTTCCAAAATACAGGTGTCCTCCATGCTGTCGTCAGCCCAGAGGGGACCCCTCAGAACACCATGTGACAGAGAAGTAAAGGAAAGAAGATGTCATCTCCTGATCCCCAGGAGAGCTATTCAGCTGGTCCAACCGCCTGGCTCTCATAGTTATGATCTGCTGACGGAACCACAGGAATAAGCATCCATGCCCCACAACCCACCCCAGCTGCTCATTATTACTGGGCAACTACTTCACTTTGTGCAGCCTGAATGTCTGGTGGGTTTGATGGGTTTGCTGAGAAGATCCTCAGCAATTATGTTTTCAGAAGTTTTCTTTTTCTTTCTAAGGCTGGGCTGAATCAAAACTTGCTCCAGTACCTGTCATGGAAAGTGATGGGTTTAAGAATCTTGTGAACAACAGTAGGGTTTCCATTACAGGTGAGTTATGAGCCATTTCTTTATGCTGCCCAGCACACTTGAAGTAATACCCAGAGACAGAGGAAGCAGGGGTGGCTGTGGAGAAACCAAGCAGCCACCTGGCTTATGGAGGGAAGGAGCATTTGTTGCTGGTGATGAATGAATAAGAACCCCTCTGCTCAAGGAGAAATGGTCTGTTTGCCTCAAAAGCCTTGTACACCAGCAGGCACAGTGCCAGTGCACACCTCATGCTTCCTGGTTGAGCGGTAAGGACAACATGGATTTTCCTCACTGAAAAATAGGGTCTGTCTCCTGGTACAACATTTTTATTCCAAGGGAAACAAAGAACTTCAGAGCCCACATAGTAATAGCATAGCTGGACATTTCTAGCTCAAACATTGACAGATGAACAAGGGCCAGCAAGAAAAGTGCTCTGGTGATATACATCAGGGTAGCCACAGGGACCTTGAGTATGGTTTGCATTTGCTCAAGTCCTGTCCCATGGGTAGAAAAACATATCAGGTGGTAGTGGTAAGGTACAACTAGCTGCTAGGCTCCTGGGTTGGGTGAAGTGATAGGACTGAATTTGCTTACCCCAGCAAACACCCCTGTAAGAGAAGCTGTTTAAGGAGTAGAAATGTGCTTTGCAGCATCATCTAAAACAGAGAAACACTCACTAGGTTAAAAACACTGCCAAACTAAATGGCTTGAAAATATACCACTAAGCATGTTATCAAAAATGCCCCTTTCTTCCCACAACAAAAACAACAAAGCCTCTATGGAAAGAAAATATTTTTTAAAAATCAAATAAAATTACACTTTTCACATGAGAAATAGTCATTTCTGTGGATGCCACTCATACAAAAATAAAACCCAAGCCTGACAGAAATTTGTTTTCCATTCATTCTTTTCCCTGCTCCTCTCTTCCTTAGTTTTTTCCTTCCACCAGGAGAGAGGAAGGGAGAGACCATCCAGGGAAAGCAGGCACTGACAGAATAAATCAAAACCTGGAAGAAGAAAAAAAGAAGCCAAGTTTGATTTCAACTGGAGGCCTGAAGCTCAGACAGGAAAGGGTATAACATGTAGTTGTGTTTTCAAGGAGTGAATAGGAAGAGAGACAAATGCCTTGGAGTCAGGAATGCGTGTCAGCCAGCCCCAACTCTTGCCAGAAAGCACCCTGTCTCCCTCTGCTGATTCAGCCTGGAGAAGAGAAGGCTCCAGAGACCCTGTAGCAGCCTTCCAGTATCTGAAGAGGCTCCAGGAAAGCTGGGGAGGGACTTTTAACAGACTTGTAACGAGAGGACAACAGGCAATGGATTAAAACTTGCAGAGGGGATATTTAGGTTTGACATTAGGAGGAAATGCTTCGCTATGAGGGTGATAAGACACTGGAACAAGTGGCCTAGGGAAGCTGTGGAAGCCCTAGCCCTTGAGTATTCAAGGGCAGGTTATACGGGTCTCTGAGCAACCAGATATAATGGGAAGTGTCCCTGCCAATGCAAGGGGGGTTGGATCTTTAAGGTCCCTTCCAACCCAAACCATTCTATGACTCCATAATTCTATGAATGCATATACCTACCTGCAGAGGCTGGGGTGTGAAAATTACTGTTTAAAGCACGGATTGTACTTTTATCACCTTGAATAACACAGCTAGGAAGCCAGGAAACTTTATCTTCCCAGTCCTTTTCTGTTTGGCTACAATACTGCTTCTGATTTGCAGACTTCTTCATGGAAATACTAATTTCATGCCAGTAAACAGATTAATATTTCCCACCTAGAATTTCTTGGAGGAAGAGGGAACAAAAATTATATCTACAAATAGCAGCACAGAATGTTCCTTTAAAAGATCAGGAATTTAAATTTCTGTTACTCAGTTGCTCTTTTAAGATCTAAAATGAACTTGAGTATAATCAAAACACTTTCAGCATAAATTTTAAGAACGACTGCTTTTTTTAGGGAGCATATTCTTACCTCATCATGTAGCATTATGGACAATGCTTTGTCACACTTGCACAAGTGATTTTCAGAGGCAGGAAAAGCAGAGAATCCTCCTCCGGGCTGGGAAGCTCTACCTGTGTTTAACTTGCAGCAGCTCGCTTAACCACTAGATGTCTTTGTGCACTGCCTGGAACGCTGCAGCTCGGCTCTCTGTGGCCAAGGCCAAGCTGCTTTGGAACCCAAGTTGAACCGCAGCCTTCTTTTGTCCATTGTATGCATTTATTTTTTTTTAACTTAATAATTGCTTTGTGTCCAGGAAGAGCTGTAATGCCATGATACTGCCCACACATCCTGCACAGCCAAGGGTTATACAAGTCCTCAGTAAGTCATAACAATAGACAGAAGTACTGGCCTGGGTGCCCTGCACACACAAACCTCTGCAGAGTGTCACCACATCCCTTCCACGATCTACAACACACAGGCAGAACTGACAGCTCCTGTCAGACTCTCCATAACATCTGGCCAGTGCCTAGCACAGGGCAGCCCTATACATATTTCTTCACTGTCTAATCTGGATGCTCACATAAAGGTGGAATTATCTCATTCTTGCCTTCTTCAAGCTGTCAAACCCAGCACATCACAGACTGCAAGAGAAGGCAGACTGAGCCAGCAGCAGGTGGGAATCTTTTATTCAGTTATCAGTCCTGCTGTGTTGGTAGCAACTTAGCAACTGGAACCCACATATGCAAAAATACTGAGTTTTCACAGTGAAAAACCAGACAGTATAAAATATTCCAGTATTGTGTCATAGAACCATTATTTCAGTAACACCCTTGTTTCAAAGGCAACATGCTTATTTCTTTTATTTGCTTTCTATTCTTGACCCCTCCCCCCAAAAAAACCCCAACTGTTCACACAGTAACCCTCCTTGCCCCCACATGTTGGGGGGAGAGAAGCACTACATGAAATCCCCTCCTGATTTCCAAAGGTTTACAGAAGAACATCCGCCCAGTGGTGTCAAGGGCCAGGACAACATGGGTCACGGTGACACTGAGTGGTTCTGCTGTGCCACACACGGCAGACAACTGTGGTGCTACTCAACTCTGGTGAGAGGCTGTGTCTCCCGGATCAGCCACCGAAGAGCTTCATGCCTGCCTTGCCTCTCCAGTTCTGCTCCAATTACTTCCCTGCACTTCTGATGGTAGTCGTTCACCCAGTTACACTAGAGAAAGGGAGGGGATATGACATTCAGCATTAACACAGAAGAGCTGGGGCCCTTACAAGTTATGTTCAACCAAAGGCCCTTTGTAGGCCTTTGTGCTTTTTGGGACTGAGCTGTTTGTCTGGGATAGGATCCTCTCCCAAAGAGACAGACCTCTCATACATGGAAGTGACTTGCAAATTTCATGAGGCTAGAACTGAAGCAATTCATTCCAGGCTTTCAGAGGAGCCAAGATTCAGTTCAGCTGACCAGTATTTAAAGTTTCTGCAAATCACCACCTCCCAAAAGTCAGAATAGCCACCTTGGCACAGTCTAGTAAATAACTCTGCAAATTGTAACAGAACAATGCAGTCCTGATAAGCTGCTCTATTATCTGAACAGGTAACCTTACAGCAGATCTTGGTACTCTTCACAGTCCCATTCAGAAAGAGGGAACGCAAATGGGATTATCATTCAGAAAAGGAGGATGGGGGTTGAGGCAAAATGAAGAGTATGATAGAAAAACAGGAAGAAATACACCACAATGAAGGTACTGGGAGATCTGAACAGAAAGTTTAGTGTATGAAGCTATTAAAAAAATAAATGCTGCTGAGCAGGTATCACTGATGCCTGGAGTCCATATATACTGCAGAATGTGATGTGGCTTGAATGGGATTGGTCATGAGTAGATATAGCCAATATCATGCAACAGTCACTAGTATAAGTCTCTGGGGAGGCAGCATGATAGTCTCTCAGGAGCAAATTAAGGCAGGAGTAGGAAAAGAGAAAATAGTGGCAATCCCTAGAGTGCCCCATCCCTAGAGATTTTTAAGGCTAGGTTGGATGAGGTTTTGTGCAACCTGGTCTAATGGTAGGGTTCCCTGCTCATGGGAGGGGAGTTGGAACTTGATCTTTAAGGTCCCTTCTAACCTTAATGATTCTATGAAATACCACATTCAAGGGAACTACCAAAACATCATTAGACGGGTCCTCACTACCTTCATCTTAGAATAATTTAGGTTGAAAGGAAAGCTCATTTTAGTCTACCCTCCCACTGAAAGCTGGATCAAATTTAAAATTAAGTCAGATTGCTAAGAACTGCCAGATCTAGGAAACAGAACAGAAGCCAGTGATTCTAGTAAGCAGAACAGGACAAGCTGGTTCTAGTGCAAAGAAGGCAGTGCAAACCTACTGTTTCACTTACCTCTTTTTGTGTCAGCAAATTAACATCAATCATTTTCGTCTGGATTGGAACCAGGGTTAAGGGTTCAAAAGTCAGGCTCCCTCTGTTTTTGAAATTGTACTGCAGCAGAAAGACAAATGGGATTGTAAAGTTTTAGAAACAGCTCTAGCCAGACCACACTCCTTGGTTCATGTCTTCGCTACAGAACAACTCATGTAACATTCAGATGAGAGGGCAGCAATTTACAGTAACATTTTTCTAACAGCTCAAGCAAAGAATCTCAATATAAACCTCATTTATTTCAGCAGTCACTTTTTAAAGGCCATGTCCCAGGTCACAACTATACAGGACTCAGCTAAATGACTATACAGTCATTTTCACTTCAGCATTTCTAAAAGCAAAACCCAGACAGACTGGCAATTATCATGTTAAAATCTGTCTGTACTTTTGTTTCTATTGACACTGAGGATTCTCTATCAGAGAAGAAAATCCCAACTTGAGAACATTAACCAACTTCACAGCAGAGATTCCCAAGGGGCTGAATAAAGATGCTTCTGGTCTTTGACATTCAGACAGAAAACATTTTAAAACTCTCACATACACATTTCAACCTATGGAAACTCTGCAGAAGCAGAACTGTCTTCTGTGCCCCCATTAGCAAGGGAGACTTAGAATCAGTCTTCACCAAAGCAGGGTTTTGGAGACCAGGAGTCTTGAAGAGGATTCAACTGTCTGCAGTACAGTTCCACCTCAAGTTGCAGTAGTTTAAGTTTTATAACCAGTGAGTCATGGAGAAAGGTGCATCTCGAGTAAGTCATTCACCTTGGTTTCAGCAGGGATCACAAGGACCACATTTTCTATTCGGATCCCAAAGGACCCATCTTCGTAATAACCAGGCTCTGCAGAAACAGACAGTAATTAACTAAAGCACATAGCTGTACTGTGCAAATACTTATACCCTATGGCCAAACTTCCCCTCCATGGCTTTTAGTCCACTGAAGTCACTAAGCTATCTTGGCATCAGGCATCCACAGAAGCAAACAAATTTCTGACTCTACTTAATCTGCACAGAAGCTCCGAGCAAGGTGACAGCAAAAGTTTTTAAAGATAAGAGAAACAAGACAGCCCTCGAGCTCAGAGTCTTCTTCCAAACCAAGAGAAAGCACAGAGTACATGTGTTTCAAATACTAGACAATCTGAAAATATTAATGTCTTTATGAAAGGCAGGTGGGTAACACCTTCCCCCAAAACACTAATTTTACACTATTCCCGACTCTCTCAGAGGACTTTGCAGCCCTGAAGGAACATAAGTCTCTCAGCAAACCCCAGCAGGCTGTTAATTTACTACAGGAAGAATAAGGCATATAAAGATTTAACAGCTGCCTCAAATAGCCCACAGCAAAGACAGGATTAGCTCCTGAAAGCTTGGTGTCCACCTTGTACTGTAGCCAGCTCTTCCATTGCAGAACAGGAGGCAGCAAGCCAAGGCTGGGCTGGGTCAGCAGCATAGCTCTGCTGAGGTTTGCCCTGTGGAGAGCAGGAAGCAGGCCCACAGCACCTGACTGCAACTATGCTTTAAGGAAGGTAAAGAGCTAAAATCTGAGGGTCTTTACCTAGAAAGCTTTAATGACAATTAACAAACTGAGGAGGCAGGACTAAGAGCTTTGATCCCACCTTTCATTTATACCATTGTCAGATTTATTCCCTCTACATCTTAAAAGAGCTTGATCTCTCCCCCCCCAGTAACCAGAGAATCACCAATGCTTAATACCATCGGACACGATCATGCCAGCCTCCAAGGGCTCATCTGCAAAGGTTTTGTAGCTAATGCCACAAGGACCCTCATGTACATTTAGGAAAGAGCCAACTCCATGTCCTGTCCCATGCAGGTAATCCAAACCACAATCCCACAAGGCAGAGCGGGCGAAGGAATCTAGAAGGTGACCTGCAGGCCAAGGGGAAGAGACAATATGGAGAGAGAATTTGATCAAGTCATGGTCCCTCAGAGAAGCTGATAATCACACTGAAGGCTCAAACGTGGAAAACATGCAAAAAAACCCCAAACAAACAAAGCCACCATCACTCCCTCAAAACTTCAAGCCTTCTCAAGTACAGAGCCCCTGCCTGTCTCTCCCCTCCTCTCCTGTTACCTCTTCAGATGATAGTCTGTAATAGAAACATTGCACTGCTGCTTGCTCCACTGGAGTCTTCAGGAAATAATCTAGTAGTCAAATTTCCTACAGAGAATTCTGTACCTTTCTTAAAGGTAGCTGCACTACCTGAACTCAATGATGATCTGTCAGTTGTATTTGATGAACTAATCAGCCAGACTTCTTGTCTGGATGGCCAGTTATCTCCAACTGCTTCAGCTAGAATGCAAATAATTACTGTTGCCTGCATGTGAACACCAAGCCCGTATGTCCAAGCTCAGACACAAACCAATTTCAGTCAGGATTTCTCCTATCACTACACAGCTGCTTCTTCCTCACCTACCCAAGAATGCAAACTGCAGAAAACTCTAAAAAGATGCATCTTTGGACTAGGTGTCTGACCACAGAAAAAACAGCTCTGCAACAAATTCACCAGGGGTGAATATATGTCACAGCTTCTCCTGCACAAAATCAAAACAGCTCGTTTGTGTGTCATTTTCCCCATACTGATCACTGGAAAAAAGAAAAAAAAGATTCCACATTAACTGGAAGAGAATTAGTCAGTCCTTCTGAAAATGGAAAATTACCTCCTGCTTTGCTTGGGCTCTGGATAAAGCATAAAGACAACCTCCATGCACAGAAAGGCCACAGATGTGTTAAGCGTGCCATCTGAGGAAAGTCATTGTCACCCTAGAACCAGAGCACTCTGAACACCCTTCAGACTTCCCCCATCGTATTTTTCAGCACTGGTTGATGCTGAGAGAGAAGGCATCAGAAATCCAGAATCCAAAATGTTGTGATGGAAACAGACACAGTTACGCCAGCATCTGCCTAACACATCTGGACTTGTCAAGAATAAAGTTGCCCTTAGACCACTTACTGGTCTTCAGAGGTCACTGCTGTGGTCAAAACACTGCACCTCACCAACCTACCTTTGGTTCCATTTGGGAAGATGGCTGCACTCACAGCTATATGTCCCTTCAGGACATAGGTGAAGCATTCCTGTCAAAGAAATGTGTGTCATAAGTAAACAGGGACTTTGTCTTCCCCAGGAATGGAAAGAAAGACTCCATCTAGTAGCAAATTGCTGAGGATCTGGAAATACTTGCTTATGCTCTCCTATGGCTGGCAATGCCAAAACAAACCAGGAGCAGAACAAGTTTAAGTTGCTCTGATGATCTTTCTCTGCTAATTATGGAGAATGCGTCACAAACGCAGACTGCAGGTTTAGCAGCAAGATTCACCTGCCCTACATGACTGATTTTCTTTGTGGCTGTAGGTTGACTTCCTGAGCATAGCCTACAGCATATTTCCATCACTGAGTGAAGTATAATGATTAAATTAGTTTTAATTAAAGAAGCCATTTAAAACATACAAAATTATATTGCTGAATTTCCAACACAGAGCTTCTTGGAGAGGTCTGAGACTGTTTTTTTATATGGTACACTAGACACAAACCACAATTGCAGTGTTGCACTAGACACTGAGCTTTGCACTAAATTACACCCCCTTAACTGCCATGTTGAACAAACCAGTAATGTTTACTTACCCTCAGCCTGCTATTTTTCTTATTTCTTAGAGAAGACATGTCACTTTGCAGATGAGAGGTGGGCATTTTAAGATAGAAAGGTGTAATTCTCTTAATCATTTAGGTTATATTTTTTAAGTGTGACAGCCTCCTTTTCTGTCTTCATCAAGATGCTGTCACATTATTAAATAAGCTATACCTGATAAAGCACTTTGACTCTACAGCAATAGGGCACATTACTCATTTGTATAAGTATCTCTAATAATGAGGGTCAGATCACAAACCACACTGATATGCCAACTTACCTTTTCATAGGCTGACGGTGTCCCAAAATGCATTGTCCTAGTCACATCTGTTGTACCATCTCTTCCAGAGGCAAATAAAGATGCAGGAAGCAAACGGATGGGGGAAAAAAGAAAGATCAAAGTGAGAATGCACAGAACGTAGAGTCAGACTGCAGCAAATCAACCAAACTCCTAACTGGGTAAAGTCACCTGCTCCAGTCCACAAGACTGATGATGTAATAGCTCCTAATCTCAAACATTCCTGAATACACATGTCCCAGATGTAGCAATAATGATTTACAATTCAAAATGTTATCTTTCATCTCTAAGAATCCCAAAGCCCTTTGCAAATTACAATCTAAAATGATCATTAAAATTATGCTAATTTGAGTTTTAGCAACTGGTACCTGTCCATTGAGAAGAGAACACAGAAAGCCCAATTCAGACAATCTGTATGGAAGCTTAATTATTAGCAGCTTAACAATACATACTTATGCGCAAATGACAGCCACCAGCTCAGGAAAGGGAAGTGTAAGAGCGTACAGAATCCCTTTCACCCTCAGGATGTCTTTTGCTAAGATTTCTAGAAGTTATGCAGCATTTGGATAGGGGTCAGTCTTGAAACGTCAGAAACTGGCTCCAATTTCCTTCTACAAATATAATTTTGAGCCTGCTGTCAAAAGCAGAGGCTCTTGAAAAAATGAGCTTCCTTTGAAAAACTCACTCCTGTGCCTACGCTTTTCCGGGCACACACAAGACATGGTCACAAAGAACACATGGTTTAACGTCTCAGCAGGGACAAGCAGAGCATCCCTGTCACAATGCTGTGGTAATTGCCATTGATGTCCAGCTTACATTATATTCAGAAGGCTGCTTTTCAGACGGGCACTAAGGAAGTCATTAATTAGGTCATGAGAGGGGAAGGAAAATAGATCTCCTTGTAAAAATCTTTTCAAAGGATGTTTGTATGCTTCTTTTTCAAGGCTCTTCCTGACTGACACAAGAAAAAGGCATAGCTCTGAAGACAAAGCTCATCTCAAAGGACCAGCCAGGTTTGTCCTGCCTCTTTCTGAACAAGCCACTTGTCATCTATTTACACTGGTTAAAAACATCACTTCTTTCATTTTCCATGGAGTCAGAGTTCCACAGTAAACAGCTGCAGAGATTGAGGCAACTCAATGGCACTGTCAAAACAGCACTAAGTGAGTCAACAGACATGATGTCTTCCCAAAAACACACCTGAGACCCAAATGGCCACTGGGATGAGAAACCTTGTCTCTGAGTCTCACTCTGGAAAGGCAGAGAACACCACGAGGCAGTGCTGTCCTGCTTCTTTGCTCCACCTAGTTCTGACCTCAACATCAGTCAAATCTGCCCACATCCCAGCAGCATAGGTGCCTCACTCAGTTGTGCAGGCAGCACAAGGCTACACCAGGGCAGTCAGGCCTGTTTCCTGCAGCTCTAACACCAATGGGCCAGGTGAGAAGAGTTGCAACAGACAGAAACATGCACCACCAGCTAGAGCACAGCTACCATCACACTGGTAATGGGACTCTAGCACTTTCGATCTCATTCCCTACCCCAGAAGACAAGGCTTGTCAGCAGTCCCAGTTTGCTGTCCTGAGCCCAGACCAGGGCCTCCTATCACAGACCAGTTACCCATTGACTGATGCACTTGGCTACATTCAGAATCCCACACACTCCCTCCAGAGGGTATACAACAAGCAGGCTCTCTGTGAAATGGCACTGTGCTCAAAACTACATTTGGTCATGCTTCTCACAGCAGCTGTGAGCTGACCCTGCAGGTGGCCACTGGGAGCAGAAAAAGTATTGGTTCAGCACCATTTATCCCACTCACTTGTACTGTGCTCCGGAGTCCAGGAGGTAGATCTCATTCACAGACAGTGTTCTGTTGGTCTCAGGAACTGGCCTGTTCAGGTAAACACAGTTTTTAGGTATCTATCCCATGTCTGCCACCCAGAAACCATACTGAATGCAAGCTTGGATGTGTCAACTCTGATTTCTTGTGGCAGTGATGGAAATCCCACACCTGCTGAGCCAGGGATCATACCAAGGAGTGTATTTTTCTACAGTAAATAGTAGAAAATAGCTTTGTTTCTTCCAGACAACCCTCAACATGTGTCACTGGGCATATTTCAGAACAGTTTGCAACTCATACTTATCTGTCCCGGACTTCTACCTCTTTTCCATGGCCACTGAGCAGATAAGCATCATAATGCATGCAGGCATTATGAGAGAGACCTTTATTTAAAAAGTGTGGAAGCTCTTACGGAATAAAGCAAGATAGCAATCAACAGTGACTACATCTCTCTGGAGTACTCTGTTGTGACTCCACAAATAAGCTAGACAGCTCATTCCAACTATGTTTGCTGAAGGATGAAAGGAGAAGCTGTTTCTCTTACTTGTAGTGAATGATGGCTCCATTTGGACCTGTGCTTGATATGGTAGCAAAACTCAGTTCAACAAAGTCTTTCTGTTGGCTGAAAGAAAAGGTTGTGATCACTACAGCAGAATGAGAGAAGCACACCAGGCACCTGGGGGCACTTGGAGTGCTCCATCCTCAATTTGACACCATCTCAGCCTTCCCCTTATGCCTTGAAAGCCACCTGGGCAAGCACACTTGGGTAGGAAAATGGTACAGATCGAAGGTCTATCCTCCCAACCATGCACAAATCTGCTTTCCATCTCTACTCTTCCCTTACAAGCAGAAAATTCACCATGCAGACCACCCAGGGAAGAGATGCCTTGAACTATTTCTTTACTACTTATTTACTAAAAGGCATTTTTAGAGTTCCTGTTGATGTACACATGGGAGGATCTCTCAATACCAATGGTGCTCATTCTCCATCAGAAGAAGAAGAAATCTAACCCTTACATCAGCTTCTCTGTCTTAAGAAAGCAACTGTCTCATATTTAAGTGTCCTAACCTGTGGCACTCCTCATTGGTATCTCAAAAGAAAAGCAGATAAGATCTAGTGGGCTGGGACTTGTACCTCCCAAGATACCTCATTCCTCCCCAACTCTTTCAAGTGTTCAAAGCAATCCTTCAAAATGTATCTGTGAGTTTGATTGCTAAATAATTAAATAAAAATTAAGGATAAACACACTACCCAGAAAACATCCCCACAGGGGATTTAATTTTTACCTGCGAAACTCCTCTGCTTTGTCTGCAGCAATTATTTCTGTCACTGTTCCCTTTGGAACCTAGTGGACAAAGATGTAGGTTGAATTACTAAACCAACAAGCAAATAAAATACTATAATGCTTATGTACTCTGCCTCATCTGTGCATTATGAAACCCAGTCTTGAAGTGGCCTGTATCCAGGTTTTCTGTCCTCATTTCTCAGTAATGGCAAACACGAACCTAGGACTACTGTGCAGGGCATTTGAGAAGCAGGAAGCAGAGACAGTCACAGCAGGATTGCTGAGCCCTGAGTAGGGAGCACTTGGTGTGGTATTAACTTCACTGAGATATGTGCAAAGGTAAGTTCTCACAAGGCAACATCTCTTCACAGACAGGTTACACTAGGCTTAAACAGTTCTCTCAAACAGCCCACGGTATTAGCAGAATTTTTATTTCAAATCAGAAATAGAAGCAGTTGCAAGAATAACAAAGGATATTAAATTTTACTTTAGGCATCTGATAAATTGAAACCTGTGACAACCTCTCCAGAACTGGACAACAGGCAAAGGGGAGCAAGATCTCATATCCCCTGCGGCAGACTCCTTGAGGTACTCAGACATGTAAAAAGGCACCCTTTGGAAGTCATCAAGCCATCTCCATAGGTAAAGTCAATGGACTCAGACATGCTGTGGTACAGAAGGAGCACAGCTTAGTAAGCTGCTGTGTAACACGTGGCACACTGCATCTTCATTGTGCACTTCTAATCCAGAGCAATGTCTTTATCCCATTTTCACTGTTCAGAGGCATGACTGCACCTCTCCATCCATACTGCCAGACAACACTGATTAGCATGAGAATAACTCCAAAACATTTCACCAAACTGGATACTATTTAATTATTTATACTACAAACCAGCACAAGTCAGTACTAACACTATATTAAGCCTGGTCAGGTAATTTCTCATCTGCTCTGGCTTTGATCTGTGTAAAATGAAAGGGAGTATGTTCTTTAAAAAAACTCATTCAGCCTTGGATAGAAGTATGATTGAACCTCCTCAAAAAAAACCCCACAAAACAGATAAAACCCCAACTGTTTCCCCAGTTATAGATAAGGCACTATAAAGCCTATAAAAAAGTTCATGCTAATGAAAAATTTTACACAGCAATAAAATCTCCAAGTTAAAAAAAATAATAATACATTACCTCTTTCTCCAGCCAGTTAAAGAGCTCACACAGGGCAACAGCATCTTTAATCTATGTTAAAATAGGCACAAGAAAAGTGAATTGAGGATAAAAAAGATTTATCACAGCTCAGTATAAAGTTTTTTGTGTAAAAGAATCCAACCTGTACGTTTCAGAAACACACACTAAGATAACTTAAGAGGTCTTTCCAGGCTCTACATCCTGTAATTAATACAAGCACCAGAAATGTATCTGGACAATTAAATAAATGTTAATAAATGTTTACTTCTGGGAGATATTTTACTGTGAAGAACTACCAGGACTCAGCAAACACAAGATTTACCCTACACATGACTTTCAAGCTTCTTTTGCTTCAACACACAAGACCTTGCATTTTAGATCATGGAACGTAACCACATGACACATCCAGCAATGTGACAGGGGAACATGCCCTTTGGGCACAGAGGCACCACACAGTTTGTCACACAGCTTCTGGCTTCTCTCTTGCCTGATGATCCCCATTTTTATTCCTTTTTTCTACATGTTTGCAGCACACAAGGGCAAGGAGAAGACAAACATACATGAGAAAAGCACAGTTTTGTCCTCAGGTGGCAGGTGACAAAATGTTTCTCCTCAGTACAAGTCCTTTTATTTCCCCTTAACTAACAGAGTAAGAAAAGTTTTGAAGTAGAAAATACCAGTTGCCAAGAAACTTGCAGAAAATTCAGGACAAGCCCAGAATTGCCAGCCCTGCTTTAACTGGCACATTTCTCCTATTGTGAAAACTGCTACTTGAATATTTACACAAAAAAGAGAACATGAGAAAACTTCAGCCCCGCCATGAACCTGTTTTACAGGCAGCTTCTTTGCTTGAAAATATGAAGCTTCCTGGGAAATCAGCCTGATTTCCAGAGTGTCAAGACTATGACACAAAACCAGAGGGCTTTGAGGACAGTGGCTGCTTTTGAACATCTTGGCCTGTGTTTTGCACCATGTGCTGAAGAATTTCTGTGTTCTTTAGGCTGTGTTTGTTCAAGTGATAACAGTTTGAAGGCTCCACTGAGTAAGACAACAGAAGTAGCAAAAGGGAGAAAACATCCCTTTGAGGGCCCATATTCTAAACAACACTTCTCAAGTCTGCATGGCCTTCCAACAGGGCAAGGTTGGTTCCTCACACTATTACAAATGTTGTTCTTCACTCCAAGGGAATGCTAAACAAGCAAAAAAACTGCTTGAACAGCAGTAGATGTTTGTGACAGAGAACCATTTTTATCCAGCCACCCAAATTCTTATTTGCTTTTTTAATCCAAAACACTAAAATTTAAAGGAAAATGTAACACTTTTCCCTAAAAATAAAGCAATGCTCTTGCAACAAGCAAGGAGGCTCTCGAGGCTTCACTTACATGTGCTCTTCTCATGCCTTCTGTTTCTGATGCATTCTTCACAGCTTTTGCAATGCAAATGGGGGTATATGGGGTGAGGTACCGGTAAGCCTGCAGCAGAAGGAGAGGGATTATTGTGGATTAGTCAGACTACGTAATCCTACAGGTTTAATATCCCTGCCCGGCCACCATTCATACTGTGGCAGCTTCCCTTCAGGACTATGAGGCATTGGCTGCCAGTAGTCAGCTTAAGTGCACTGGGGAATAAAGAGGAGAAACAGTCTCCAGCTGAAGGAAGAACAGCCACAGAGAAATGCAAGGAACTAAAGGCTCAACAGCCTGTCATGAAGAAAGGTGAAGATTTGGATATCCTAAATACCATGTATAACAATGTCTGAGCTATGGTCTTCCCGTTGCTGATGTACACTGAAGGTCCAGAACCAGCCAATGAGAAACACCAATCCCAGGGACTCAGGCAGAACTCAGGCTGTACAAACAGAAGACCTAAACAGTCACTTGGACTTATTAACACCTTCAAGTAACAGAGAGCAAAGGATACTCAGCCCAGGTACCAAGAACTGGAGTTGAGCCTGGAGGGCCTTCCAACGCTCTGGCTCCTCCAGCACTGAGCATCACCACTTCTAATGATCAGCAACCCTGACAAACACATCAAGAGCCCAAGAAACATATAAGGCCTTGCAAAGCTGAGCTATATATGCTGCCCACTTCTGAGACAAAACTTTCCTGTGCCTGGATTGGGTGAGCCTCTATTAAGGACTAGTAACTAATCCCTTACCACTGTGCACTCCCCCAGATATTGGCTGTCCTTAGATTAGCAGGAATCCTTGCCTGGTTCTGAGCACATCTTTAGAAAGTCACAGGCTGAGATGACTTGCTCAAACTTCAGCACCCTCAGCATCAGAAGAAGGAATAAAAATGAAATATTTTTTCCCAGTTTTCTGCTTTACCCATTATGTATCGGGACATGGGATAAGCACCTACACAACCACAGCCTAAGCAACATGCTGTTTTCCTATTCCCAATGCACCAGCATACAAACAAACATGACTCAAATTCACAGGCCCTCAGCAAAGAACAATTTCACATAAATCCTACAGGCTTAATTTCCAAATTCTTAAAAATAGCAAAACAAATTCACTACATTATACAGAAACTGAAGAAGCCACAAGAAAGTCAGGAAAGTCCTTTTACCAGTCAAGACAGAATTTCTCAATGGTAACATTATTAGACTGGTTTGCCTTTTACAGATACTGGTAGGTTTTTTTAATCTTCAGTGAAAAGCATATTTACATGCAGCCGTAAGGAAATCTATACAGGGTTTGCAGATCTGTGTTTAATAATGGACTGGATTTTTGCCAGTGTCAATATTTGGCTTTGATGGAGACAGACTAGATGGACTTCCAACACTGAGGTTTTTCAAAGCACTCCAGGCCAGTCACTTGGCTGGTGTAAAGTGGTGTAGAGCTGGAGAAAAACACCCAGCATGTGGAAATGGGAACCTTTGGCTCTTTCACTGGTTCTACAAGTGGTTTTTAATTAAGACATTTCAGTCCTCCCTCTCCTGCTTTCTATTGCATAGAGCTCCTTGAGGCAGGGACCCTCCCACTGCATACAAAGGGCATGTAGCACTGTAATGACCCAGTATCAGCCGTAACTTCCAGTCTTACCATGGTAAATAATGTCACTACAACTCATTACATTCCTCAATCTAGGCCAGACCTGCTGTATTTCTCCATGTGGATGCTCTGCATAAGTCATTTACAGCAACTTACCCAAACTGGGGTTAGTCCATTGACTCCAACTACAGCAAGGGGTATTCTATTCTAAAGTCAAAAGAGCAACAACAACTTATCCTGAATGCTCCACAGACTCTATGCTTTCTGCTACCCTGAAAGAAAGACAGTGGGCAAAATGTCAGTGTTCTGCATGAAGAGGCCATTTGCACCTAAAAATGGATTGATGGCATCAGAAGATTTAACCCCAAGCAGGGGCAAAAAACATCTATCTTGCTTATGTATGTCTTGTTGTTGTTTGTTTGCTTTTTTAATTAAAAAGAAAAAACACACAAGGCAAACAGCATATTTCCCTCAAGTCAGTGCAAAGGCACAGAGAGCCACATCCTATACTAAAGGGATACACTGAAAGCAACAAAACTTTCCAGACTTGTTTGGTTTTACCCTGTGTCCTGACGCACCAAGTGCAATGAAGCTATTAAGGTATATCAGTGAATGTTATTCCTGGGGATATATAATGCATGGCTCCTGCTATTTTGGAGAGCTGGAGAGTTTAAGCAGAGACTTATGCTGGCATCAAACTGTGGCAGCCTGACAACAGACAAACACGTGCAGAACAATCAATGACACAGGCAGGAGATTTATGCCTGCCTGGAAGAGACAAACCTGGTGGTGGGTGAATGCAGACTTGCAGCAAACACTTTACAATTTAGTTCTTCCTTCAGCAACCCCTTCATCTGAGCCATGTGATTCCAGGTGGGCAGCCTGGACTGTTCGGTAACCCAGCACATGCACAGATTCTATTCAGTGGGTCTGGTCTTCCAAGGCAGTATCTGAAAAATACTCACTGGTTCCTGACTCCCAGCCATATTTACTCACAGTACCTGTTAGGTACTAGATACCTCTGCAAACTGGATGTTATTCTAGATAATGTGATCTCTAGCAAACAAGAAATGTACACAAGATGCATGGAAACCAGTTAATTTTTCCGTAGCTGCTGCTTTGTCCTTGCCCAAGTATCTCCTTCTGTGACTACTGGAGTATTAGGTGGACTGCAGGACTCCCAGACAGCCAAGTTAAAGTACAAGGTTAAGATCTTGCAAATGCAGCTGTACAGAAATAATTCTGATGCTACAACTGTCTCTCAGCAGATGCACTCACTGCATGGACAACCAGCAGGTTATCTGTGTTCTCACAAGGCTCCCTGCTGCAACAACTCCCTGCCCCTCCTGTCTTCAGTACAAGACATCACATATTGATATCCTCAAGCCACTGAAATAAGGGAAACCAGCTTCAGACACTTAGATGAAGCTTAATGCCCTCTCCAAAAGTCCAGCTCAAGTTTCCTACTTCAGTTTCTGCAAGTTTCCAGCTCTTACTGCTGCTCCACAGAAGGCTGATGTTCCATCCATGGGAAGAATGACCCAAGTTCACCCTGCTCCATCTCTCCCACTCTTCTCTAGCTGTACTTGTCTTATCTTAAGCTTACAATTCTTTGGGTAAATCAGCTTAGTGAGTTGTAAGGGCAGCTCCAGAGGGCAACCCCAGGATTAACAACCCCTCGATATTTCAACATAGCTGGATACTTTCCATACAAGCTCCAACCTGTATCATGCTTTGTAGAGGGGAAGCTGAGGCCAGTAGCTCCCATTAACACCATTCCTGACCACACTGAGCAGAGAGGACAAAAGTATTTTCCCTTGCAAGGGACACTAACCTTGGGAATGGCCTCAGTCAGAGCATAGCTGGCTTTGTCACTGAGCCACACTTTCTCCTTGGGTGAGAGGCCCACACCAACAGCCTGCAGCTCTGACAAGATAGATCCATAAGGCATCACCTGGATTTTAAACTCAGGCTCCAGAGTGGAGTCAAGCTGTAAGTGCTCCCTCACAGCTGGGTCCATCATCCGGTCACCATCGATGAAGAGCCTGAGAATCACATGGGACAGAGCAGATAAGTGAGATCACATCTGGCAGTGGTTGGAGTAAAGGAAGGAAGGAGAAACCATCCTCCTTACATTTCAGGGAGAAATGAGTTTGTTAATTATGTGCTATACTTCCTCCTATATTGTTTTAACCATTGGCCTTCACACAGCTTAAATCTTGTTTTGTACCACTCTGCTGAGAGGAAAGGAGCTGACAGCATTTTTGTTTGTATGATACATTCAAAATGGCTGCATCTCATCACCACACTCCAGGGAGGAGAGAGTAGCAGAGGCAAATTATGGCCATTCTCTAATTTTTAAGGGCAACATCTGGAAATGGAAAAGCTACTGCTGTTCTAAGTACCATATTGTTCTTGCTTTCACCAAATTAGAAGCTTCAGCTCAACCTTTGCATACAACCTATACTCACCCAGCCAGGTTATACCTCAGACACACTTAGCCAGCAGCTTGGAGATGCCTCTAAAAGACTTCTGCTTGCTGAGGGTCATTATATGGGGGCAGTCACAGGAAAGAAACCTTCTCTCATAAGCCAGCCCTGGAACTTTTCTGCACAGTGCCAGCAGTTTTTGGAGTGACTCATCAGTGACATCAGAGTTTTCCAATGTCCAGGCCAGCTTTGGCTCTTACATTTAACCCAGGGCTCCGAGAGCCTTCCATCTTATCCCAGGGTGACAGACAGAAGGGTCAGTCAACGTGCCCAAGGCACCCAACAAGGCAGCTGAGGTGCTAAGGAGCACAGCAGAGCTGCCTCTCTAGCTCTGATCAGGGAAGGACAGTCATTAATGTTAAAGATAAACATGCTCAGAAAGGACATTTCAAAATGCCTGCACTTGGGCAGTTTAAAGACAAATACTTTGCTAGAACAGCTCTCCCAGAGAAAAATACATCTTTCGGGACAGAAGAGGGGAATACATGCACCTGATTGTGTTCATTCCTATGACAGCATATGCAAAAAACACAGGATTGTACTCAACATCAGAGCCTCGGAGGTTGAAAAGCCCTGGAAAAAAGAACACGAAGAATAACAGTCCTGGCTCATCTTTTGCAACACTAGAGAAAGCCAAAAATAATCTCAGCAAACATGGTCAACCAATGAGTTGTCATGGGTGCAAGCCCTGAATCCAGCTCCCACCCAGCTATACCACATCCCAGTTTTTCAGCAATCCTAAGTGTTTGCCAGAAGATGGCACCAGAAGTGCAATTTAAACACACTCATGGGAAAAGAAAATTGAGGTTTAATTTATAAAGGAGGGCTGTCTTGGAAGAAAGCAGGTATAGGCAAAAAAGACACAGACACACACAAAAAAATTGTAGTGTTTGCCCTTTCTGGTCTGCACAATGCAATAAAGGCTCACTTCTCAGCAGCCAGAAGACTGAAGTTACAAGTTATCCTTTCATTCCAAACCTTCTTTTGATACTTGAAGAAAGAAGGGAGACACAACAAGCAAGACTAAAATGCTCTTGTTCCGGTGCCTCCAACATCTCAGTTTCAGACTGCATAGTCTTAGCTTTTTTCACAAATATTTTATCCCACACAACTTTAGGCAAAAAAAAAAAAGTCAGGAGAGGAAGTAGATTTTCAGCATCCCCAAACTCCTGATTTTAGGGTCAAATAGAAACCCCAGGGTATCCAATTAGGCAAAATTAGTTACTCAAGGTAGTAAGGCCAGCCAGCAGGATAGCTGGGAAAAGAACCAACATGTCCTAAATCACAGCCCAGCACTGTATTCATCAAACTGTGCAAATTCTGCCACAAAAGTAAAAATAGAGTTTGATTCTCCCCAGGGAAGGAGTAGGTCACTTGAAAGCAGGAAGGAGCTACAAAAAACTTTACTGCAAGGGTACAAACTTCCTTGCTCAGTCAACTCCCACAGCAGTAAAGAGGCTACAGCCTCCTCTGTGGCTCACTCTTTCTGTCCCCAGAAACTTGCCTGGAGTTTAAACAGTGAATTGAATTGAATTAAATAAAATTAAGGACAATTTCTCCCCTTTCCCTCCTTAGAATAGGAAATCAACCAGGCACTTGGCAATAAGCATCCCTTATGACCTCCTCCAGTCCATCTTAAAACCCTTGATTCATAACCAAGCTTGGCTTTGCTGAGACATTTAATCTGAAACCACCTCAGGGCACCAATTTATCATTAATTTAATTGGAGATGCGTCTGAAAAGGTGAGACACACAATCTCAGCTCACGCAGACCTCCCTAGGGAGGAGTCATATTCACCCCTCTCAGAAGTACTTCTTTTACGAAACAAGCTCTTTGCTCAGTGTCCCAGATCCAGAAGAACCCACAGATCTCAGCAAGCTGGCTTCTCCCAGCGCCAGAGACACAGTGTTGGCAGTGCTGGAGCTAGGAACACATCCCCTTCCAGATGAGACAGGGGGCACAGGCACTAGCAGCACTCAGACCCTGCCAATGCTGTGTTTCCACTGCACCAGTCTGTGCACTGGTGATTTCTGCACAAAGGATACAGAGCCCTAGTAACAACAGTCCCAGGGGAACCACTGCTGTTTCTGGCCATTCTCCCTTCCTATGCACTGGGCTGGGAGCCAGGGTGTGGAGACCTACTGATCCTGGGGCCCCAAACATGGAGCAGACCCTCTAGTGGGACCCTGGGTTGAAATGACCTGGAAACACAAGTTGAACCCTGACCTACTTGTTTTAATCAAAGCATTTGGCAAACACTGGAGAGGCAGAGACTGACTTTAAAAGTCATGACAATTAGGAAGATGACTGAGAAGGCTGCATGCCCCACCTTTGCTTTATGCATACAAAGCCACAAGCTGCAGTGCTTTGTTTCTAGCCCAGCCTCCACAGCAGAAAAGTCTCCATCTTCCCACAGGGAGAGGCAGCATCGGGATATTTTACAGCCAGAAAATCTCTCAGGTGTTGGCTTTTTTTTTTTCTTCTTCAAACTGCCTCAGGCTTTATATATAACCTTTCTTTCCTTTTGCCTGGACTGTTTTTCAAAGGTGGTGATTTGCTGCATTTCCTGGGCCAAAAATGTGTTCAGGAGCTGCAGTGGTGCAGTAAGGCATTGTTTAGAAATACAGGGTCACTATTTATGACCTGTTCTCACCACTGCACTAGATGCAGGTAAATGGCCTCTAACAAACACATTGGCTGTCACAAGTGCCTCTCACCCTGCTGGGTTCTTCCTTTTCAAAGCAGGAAGGACACATATTTGTAGGAAGAACTGAGAATGAAAATGCAAACTTACATGCTACTTCATCCAAGGCAGTTACCACAAACCACAGGACTTTCCTCTCAGCCATTTTTGAACGGAGGGCTGTAATTTTGTCTCTCCAGCTGACCCCTGCAAAACACAATATGAAGAGCTACAGTCACCAGCTTTACTGGGGATGATGACATAAACACAGACCAAAACATTGGATTTTGGAAGTAACCAAAACACAGTTCTGCTTGTGCTCCTCACTCCTCTCTAATAACTGATACCAACTACCTTAAACAAGCTGCCCTCCAGATGTTGATGGATTTGTTTTTAAGTTATCTAGCATTCAGTTATTTGAAGTTTTGGGGACAACAGGGTCATTAGCTGAGGTCCAATTACCTTCTTGCCCAATTCATAGTGGACCATATTGTGCTGCAGTAGCGTTTTTCTCATTACTTTGTAAGAGAAAAGCAAAGGGATATAGGGCAATAGAAACAGTTCCTTTCTATTGGGACTTCTCACCTGTGTAACTCAGGTCAAGCGTGATGAGAGGCTTGCAGGGACGCTGAGGACAGTCTGACCAGATTGTATCAATCAGGTTTTCTTTGACAGGCACAAGGTCATGGCCAGCACTTCTTAAGACTCTGGACATCCTCTTCCACTGGTCTGCCAAACAGAAGAGTAAAGAGTGATACTTTTAAAGAACACACAGATTGCACAATGGCCTTGTTCACAGGAGGTAAACTCAAGAATCTAAGAATCCTCTTCCAGCCTTACCTGCTTCCCATTCCCTTTAAAAACAAAGCAAGAACTACTGCAATTACAGATCAAGAAACACAGCTGCTACAGGCAGCAGCAGGTACAGAACCTTGCAGCCTTGAAGCCTCATAGAATGGTTAAGGTTGGAAGGGTTCTTAAAAAATCAGGTTCCAACCTCCCTGCTATGAGCAGGGACACCTCCCACTAGACCAGGCTACACAAAGCCTCATACAACCTGGCCTTCAACACCTCCAGGGAGGGGGTATCAACAACCTCCCCAGGCAACCTATTCCAGCCCCTTACTACCCACACCTGGTTAGCTGTGTACCATCATACAACAGCTCAGCCAGGGAAGCAAGGAAGGAAAATCTAGTTGCTTGACCCAGAGTTATAAAATAAAGTAACACCAACCAGCTGGAATAATGAAAGGGTCCACTCCCACCTTCGAGCCTTCTGGAAGGACACTCACTAGCCAGTCCTCCTGAGTTGGTGTTTCTTTCAGACCTACATGGATTTAAAAAAAAAAAAAAAAAAAAAAAAGAGGCTTGCAGGGACGCTGAGGACAGTCTGACCAGATTGTATCAATCAGGTTTTCTTTGACAGGCACAAGGTCATGGCCAGCACTTCTTAAGACTCTGGACATCCTCTTCCACTGGTCTGCCAAACAGAAGAGTAAAGAGTGATACTTTTAAAGAACACACAGATTGCACAATGGCCTTGTTCACAGGAGGTAAACTCAAGAATCTAAGAATCCTCTTCCAGCCTTACCTGCTTCCCATTCCCTTTAAAAACAAAGCAAGAACTACTGCAATTACAGATCAAGAAACACAGCTGCTACAGGCAGCAGCAGGTACAGAACCTTGCAGCCTTGAAGCCTCATAGAATGGTTAAGGTTGGAAGGGTTCTTAAAAAATCAGGTTCCAACCTCCCTGCTATGAGCAGGGACACCTCCCACTAGACCAGGCTACACAAAGCCTCATACAACCTGGCCTTCAACACCTCCAGGGAGGGGGTATCAACAACCTCCCCAGGCAACCTATTCCAGCCCCTTACTACCCACACCTGGTTAGCTGTGTACCATCATACAACAGCTCAGCCAGGGAAGCAAGGAAGGAAAATCTAGTTGCTTGACCCAGAGTTATAAAATAAAGTAACACCAACCAGCTGGAATAATGAAAGGGTCCACTCCCACCTTCGAGCCTTCTGGAAGGACACTCACTAGCCAGTCCTCCTGAGTTGGTGTTTCTTTCAGACCTACATGGATTTAAAAAAAAAAAAAAAAAAAAAAAAGAGGTTCAAAGAAGAAGTCCTACTGAAGCATTCCCACACTACCCAAGAAGTCCAAGCTAATACATTGAATTCATGTTAATGAATGTCTAGACCCACAGGCAAAACAAGTCATAGGACACTAAAGGAGGAGCACCCCTGTGTCCAACATGTTCCTAATCCCCTGCATGACAGGGTATCCCTACAGCCCAAGCTGTAACATGCGCAAAGTGACCAAATAGCCTGTGATTGTTCTCTGTTCATCACCAAAGCAATATCCCAGCCTCCTGCATACCCATTTTCATGAGTGTCCAGTTGTTATCCATTTGATGTGCAGCTTGCAGGAAATAGCGTCCATCTGTCCACATGGCTGCATGCTGCTCAGTTACTATGGCAGTACCTAGGCAGGAAGGCAGAAAAATGTTGTCACCTAGAGGTGTGCAGCCACCACACAGAGACACAGACAGCAGGAAAGTGCTTGAAATGCACCCCAATTTCCCAAAAAGCAGCTCTGCTCGCTGTTCAAAAGTTAGTTCAGTTTCAGTGGAGATATTCAGTTTCCCTTGCACTACAACCTTCCAAATCTTATCAGAGACAATATGCACAGGATGCAGCCTAATGAGTTGCCTCAGATTAATTCAACTTGAGCATATCTCAGCCAGTCTGGAACTGGGTAAATGAGGCTTTCCAAACCTGCAAGACTGTGGTGTTCACTTAGCTGTTGTCACAGTAACAAATACTGTACATCCTCAGACTCCATCCTATCTTCTTACAGGGAGAAAGCCTGGCCATCCACAAGAAGCAGCTGTTACTAGACTAGTAGACATGGGTATCACTCCCAGCTGTCAGCTGCACTCCTTTCCCAAGTGTTACAAGCTCTAGCAGAGACGGCTGAACAGGAAATACAAACATAAACCTCTGATGGTTTCAGCATCTATCCCGTTCCACTGACTCCAGATGGAGGGATGCAAGCAGACAGCTGAAGGGCAGTGACATCTAAGCAAGGCACTATATCTGCCTTGCCCTTGGCAATTAAAAAAAACAACAAAAAAAAAAAAACCAAGGCACAAACAGAAACTGAATCCAAGTTTTTTGAGTCTCGGCATCTCTGTCGCCAGAAACCGACGCCCAGATTTGCAAAGCAGTTTCCAGATACAGATTCACTGTCTTCTACCAAACTTCCCCAATACAAACCCCATTTTAAGCTGCTTCAGCCTGAAAAGATGAAGCAAGAAACACAAGGTGAGCTCCTGTGTGAAACCTCACTGATTCACCAAGTGCAAGGCTGAGAACACAGACCTTTCAAGTATTTAACAAGGGCCCAAAACAGAGAAGAAGGTTAGGAAGAGGCCATGTAGAAGGTGCAAAATTAATACAGGATTCATGTTATCCATTAACAGCAGCCCACAGCCCTGGATTTATCACCCTCCACAGGAGGTCCCAGAGAAGTTTATAGGAACTGATGAATGAACCCTCCAAACACATAGGTAGCAGTATTTACTAAACCAATTTACAACTCAGGGAGGGAAAGGTCTTGATTGACTAAAGTGACTTTCCAACAGTCACACAGCAGAGTAAGTTGCAGAGCTTAGGGTACAGCTAGGGTAAAAACTAGGTCTCTTGAAACACAGACCTATCCTACAGCCAAGAAAACATCCTGTCTCGGCAAGATAAGCAAACTTTTCCACAGCGTTCAGAGTCCAAATACAGTGTTTCTGGCCCTGGCTCTCTTCAAACAGAAGGGCTAGCTCAAGCCCATCTACTATTCACCCAGTCCAAATGGGCAATGTAAAAATCTGTTTGTACTGGCTGCACTTCAAAAGAAAAGAGCATGGGTTACAAAGCACCACATGAAAGAGTTAACAGGATTTTACTTTACAGGAGGTTCATTCAGGGGTCAAACATTTTCTGAAAACTTGTTATTGCCCTGATATTACATAATTCTAGCGGGTAGCCAAGACATAATTCTGCAGATGCTGAAATGGGAAGAAAACGGCCCAAAAAAGCTGTGTAGGTTTCATTAGCAAGAACCCAGTTCTGGAAAGGTACCTGCAGAGCCATCAAATCCAGAGATGAACGCCCGTCTGCAATCACAGGGTGCAATGTACTCACTCTAGAAAACAAAAGAAGCAGCAATTATTTATGAAGAGGGCAGAGGGGGGAGGGTGGTGGGAATCAGCTGATGACAAATACTTTGATAAGCTTTTTCTCCTAAAGGACGCTACAGAGACAAATAAATGAGTTAAAAAATCCTGGGCTCTACTCCACTGGAACATTTAATCATCTGTGATTATATTGTATTTATGTCCAACTGTGTCTTTTTTTTTTATTTAAGCTGCAGCCCTTTTCTCCCACAAATGTCTGTAAACACTGAAGTGCTTCAGAGTTTGCAGATGTTTATTTCACACTCAGCCTCCCCTTTGGGCAACAAACAAATGCTGCCTTTGAAGCTGCAATGTGAAAGAGAAACAGTGAAGCACCCCTTGATCTTCGAAACCAGAGTAATCAGTGCATAAAATCTGTAAAATTCACTATCTCCAGTGAAGTCTCCTCACTGGCATTTGTAAGGATTCTTTTTAAGACTTTCTTTTACACAACATGACACTGAAAGAAAATCATCAAGGTGGTAAAACTGTAAAAGCTTTAACCCCTAGGACTTTTCATAGTTAGATCCTCTCACTTCTTCCTTGCCTACTCAAAACACCACTACACAAGAAACCAACAGACTATGGTCTGGTGGGCAACTGGAAATCAAAGATTAATCCATCCTCATCCCAACCCCATCACAACTTGTGCTTGTGGACACATTTGTTGGCAGCATTACAGAAGAGCGTGAAAATGCACAAACACCTGACATCCACAGGAGCTGCCCAAATTAAAAGAGCAACTGCACCTTGAAATGGTCCACACACCATTTTTATGGAATTCCACTCTGGCAAGTTTGGAGGTCAGAACTGCTGAGTAGGCTTGTCAAATAACTAGCACAACTCAGCAAATCAGCTTAATCCAGGCTGACAGCACCAATGTTTGAGCTGCAAAACCCCTGGATTTGTACCTTACAAATGGTCTGAAACCAAACTCTGCTTCTCTGCCCATAAAGTTTCTCTGCCCCCAATGGTGCTGTGGCAAAAGAAACACTCTGGGGACTCAGCTGAAAATCACAGCCCAATTCTGAGGTGGTTTTAGTTCCTACAGTGACAGATACTGCATTGCCCTGTATCTGGCCAAGGCTATTTTTAAATCACCTGATTGTTAGAAAATACTCCCTTCAAATGTTACTCTTCACTGTTCTAAAGAAGGCAGAGAGTCCAAAGCACAGGAGTGAGTGAGGAATAAGCACAAATTGCAGCACCTGGGACCAACACTCCCAATTACCCCACAATCAATGCCCCACCATGAACACCCATGTCTCTCTCCTCCTGGGAGATGCCCTAGGCAGCAGCTACCAACCACTCAACACTAATGTTTTGAAACTGAGCCTTGGGACAGCAAAACCCATGGCCCAAAAGAGGATCTGTCTCAGCAGCTTTTGCACCTGACTGCCAGGGCAGAAGATTGACAGGTATTGCCCTCATCTCTGAGCCAGTCCAGTTCCCTGTGTCTCTTCTTGTCCAGCCCCACAGACCCCACAGGGCTGTGACATAGGCTCACAGCAGCTGTGGGGAGGAGAGGATTCAGGATGTCCAGCCTTGGGAAGGGATGACTGCCCTCTACACAACTCCAGCTGATGGGGTAGATCCACCTCAGCCCACCATCACCACTAACCCCCTTTAAAATAACAGCAGAGGCACCAGCAGATAGAAAGGACAAAGTCGTTTTAGGAATAGAATCAAGTGCCGGTTTCCCCAGCTGCCTGTCTCACAGCAGCAGGACGGAACGTGAAGGCAGAGCAATGCTTGACCTGAGAAGGATTCATTACCCTTATGAGGAAAGGCTGAAGGTCTCTTTAACTTGGAGGAGATTGTGGGGCAACCTCATTAATGTTTATAAATATGTAAAGAGTGAGTGTCACAAGGACAGAGCCGGGCTCTTCTCAGTGATGTTCAATAATAAGACAAGTGACAACAGGTACAAGGTGGAGCATAGGAAGTTCCACACAAACATAAGAAAAAACTTCCACTGTGAGGGTGACAAAGCACTGGAACAGGCTGCCCAGAGAGGTTGTGGAGTCTCCTTCTCTGGAGACATTAAAAAACCGCCTGGACATGTTCCTGTGTAACCTTCTCTAGGGGATCCTGCTCTAACAGGGGGGTAGAATTAGATGATCTTTTGAGGTGCCTTCCAACCCCTAACATTCTGTGTGATTCTGTGATTTCACCATTTCCTAATGACTATTCAGCCTGCTGACTGCTACAACCTCCCTTCTCCTGCTCTTCCCTGCTCAGCACAGAACAGTGAAATTTATTAAAACAGTTTAAAAAAAATCTAGATCTGGTAAAAGCTGACCTAAACTAATAAAGACCTTGACTGTGTGGAACTACCTCATGCTGTCCCATTCACAGACAAATGTGGGGCATGTTTCAGGAGTTTACAATGAGGCAGATGAGCTTTAAAAGGGACGGTGAGGAATCTGGAGGGGAAGATGGTTCATTTATATCTGTCAGTCTGAATTCTTGCACACCCACCTGTTCTGTTCCATGCAGCAACCCCCACTGCGCAAAGATGAGACCATGTTGTGCACAAGCTAAAATTACAAGGGAAACACCTGCGTACGCCACACAAAATACAGGCCACAGCTCAGTCAGAACGAGGTATTTCCCCAAGGCTTGTCTTGCAGCTCCAATGGCCTTCAACCTGGCCCTCAACCTGGCTCTCCCTCAGGCCTTTCGTGTCTGTTTTCCACCACACCTGTCAGTCCTCGACATGCAGACAAATCTGGGGGCTGCATCACAGAAACCCTGAACTAAGCCAGGAAGAATCCCCTGAAAAATCAGAGGGGCTTATCACCAGAGCTTGTATGGTTGGGCCACTAACAAGTAAAAGCTGATTCTATCCTGATGTCAGCCAAGATCAGCAATGCAAGAATGCAGCTTGCTGCCCTCAGAGCTATGACACTGATGCCATTAAAGAACAAACACTGCTGTGTACTTGGAGGGAGGTCGGTATTCACTGCCAAAAACCTAACTGCATTGGTAAGATCTGGAACAGGTCAGTGCAACCTGTGCACAAGCTGCCTCTTGTTTTATAACTCCACTGATTCCTCAGCTCAGAACAAGCATGTGCCAGAGAAGCCAGCCCTCAGCAGAAGACAGCATCTCTGCCAAACCAAACATGGGGCCCTGAGCTGGACAGGTGCTTCCTTGATGTGGAAGAGCAGCCAGATATGACCAAATTTGTTTTCACTGAGTCAAGGCCTGGGGGTAGAAGCCAGCCCCAGTTAAACTGTGACTGGCTCCAAACCCAAGCTGTAATCTAAACATCATTCCCTCCCATTAAGAAAGCTCTTCCAATCTCTGAATATTCCCATATGGGCAAACTCCAAATTCAATGTAAAGTAGGTGATTCAACATAAAAATGGGTCCTGTATTTACCACTGCAAAACCCCATAAACTCAGACAGGCATTTTTAACTGAACCACAAAGGACTTAGGTGCTTCATTCCTGGAAACAGGGCATTTCACCCCTTTATGATCCTTTGACACCTTCAGATACACCACAAGATACAGCCAGAACCCATGAAAGGAAGCAGGGCTCTTTGTATGGACTTCAGAGCTTAATTTTGGTTGGGTCTGCCCTCCTTTCTCTTCAGCCTTTGGATCACTCAAGTCCCCAAGGAAACAGTCCATTTCTTCTGACTCCTTATCACCAGCACCAAAAGTTTCAAAAATCAAAGCAGCCAACAATCAGGGCTGGCTGGAAGAGCCACAAATCCAAAGTACTAGCAGCCTTGGTTAAGCCAGAGTCAGAGCCAGCTGTGTTTGAGAAGCTCTGCAAGTCTTTTAGCTCCTTACACAACTAAACATGGAAAGCAAAGCTCAAAACTGGTGGCAAGCCTCCTGGCAGTATTGTAGCCTAAGCCTTCCAGCCTTGGCAGGAAAACCAGTATTATTATTACGGAGCTCAGAGATCAAACATACCCAGCATTACAAAAAAAAATTAGTGAGCAGGTTGCAGCATCAGGGTGTATCAGCATCAGTTCAATCCAAGGGTTCCTTTGCATCCTAGAAGGGAATAAAGTTTCCCCCAATCTAAACTCAGTGTCAACATCATAGTAGGGAAATCTCTCTTCGTTGTCAAGTTCTCTGATGTGGATCCCAAGACAGGCTCAGGAACAACTGACAGAGGCAAAGATAGCAATAAGTAGCTTGAGCTCTGGGGAGGAAATGGCTCAAGCCACCAGAAGCTTGGGTATCATTAAACCACAGCCTTCTGAGTCATAGAGAGAGCTGCCAAAGAGCCAAATCTGACTGCAGGGCTGTAAAGTTCTTATTTGAGTACAGGAAACAAACCCTTGCTTGGAACGTGGGGAAGCTGCAAATGTCAGCTCATCACAATTTACCTGGAATCAGTAAGCCCGTTCTGGGATCAACAGGCTTCCGCCAGTGCCTGAAATTGCATCAATTCCCAAACCTCAGAGACAAAATTCTGCACTAGATAGTCAGGAGGTGCCAGAATCAGGAGCTTTTAGAAATCATTTCCATTCAGATAGATTCACTCTGCAGAGAAACCTGACCAACTCGCCCAGCAGGAAATAGCAACATGGGGTTCTCTGCTTAACTGCACTCTGTCAAGGAAAAGAAAGCAACAGAAAAACCCAGAAGTCCTAAGGGTCACATTCTTCAACTCACATGACAGCATTTAATGTCTAGTGAAATGAAACCGGAGTTATATATGGACAGAGGCAGCTTGAGGCAGGAATGCAGCAGACAATAGCAGCTGCAGAAAACGCCTTCCCTCTACCTGCCCAAGTTTGGATCTCCCTAAGAGGAAACATGATGCTGCACATACAGTCCCAGGGCATAGGCAAGTCTGGACCCAGCTCAACCCAGTGCCAAGTCAAGGGCAAAGGTTCCGATTCAGTTGCATTTTGCTCTTGTGCACCCTGGGGTAAAAGGGAGCTTTGGGTGTGAGCCAGGAAAGCTCCAGGTCTTTTGTTTCCTGAAAATGGCTGAGTGAAAAACTCAGTCCTTGGGTCTCCTAATAGAGTCAACAGAAGAGTGAAACTAGCACATGAGCAGGCAGGGAACGTAAAAGGCAGTTCAGCAACTTCATGTCACAGATTAAAAAAAGTCTTAGAAGTGGAAGCAGCACACAGCACAGTTACTGTCACCAGTTACCACCCTGGGCCCAGACTTCCCTCCTGCATTTAGTGCATGGAACAACCTGATGGAGAGGAGCATCAAAATGGAAAGGCCTATGTGGCCTTCTCGTTCCCTTCCTCTCCAAAGGCCCCTCTGCGTGGCATCTCCAGGGTTTTAGCTTAAGGCAGCATATTCAAGCAAAAACTGAACCTAGCAGAGTAAAGTATCTGCAACTAATCCTTTGCCACTTTGCTTCAGAGTTTGCATTGATCAGGAAGTGCTAATGGTGAAACTAAAGCCCAGATAATGCCTTTTCTCCCTCCAGCAAATCTATTTCTCCCAACAGCCAGGATGAGGACAGCCGCGATGGGGACTCCAGAAACTTTTTCCAACGTGCTAATTTTCAGGTTACCCAGGCTTTTATGCTAGAAGCATCAAAGCGAGTCAACAAAGGATTATTTTAGTTATCCTTGGCTTTTATTTTTTGCAGGGAAGGAAAGTGAAATCATTCCTGTAATCCATCCATCTGTACCTGGTGGGCATCTCCAGAGGGCACTATGTAGGCTTGGACAGGCTCCTGGACATACTTGGGACTCTTCATCACCTGCCGCAGTTGCTTCAGCAGCTCTGTTGTAATTTTTGGACTCATCTTTCTACCTGCAACCAAAAGAAAACATAAGACTTCAGAGCTTTTCCAGCTGTTCCAGGCCACTCACACACACAGGCTGGGGGCCATCACCACTGGAAACTCCCATGAGGAAAAATGAGCCAACATCATCCCTCTCAGTCCAGAATTTCTCATCTTGTCATTTCACTCATGTTGCTTGAGAACAAGGGATCAGGCTGAGGCCAGAGAGTCAAAGCTGGTCTATCCTGCAAAGGACCTTTCCTGCCTGGTGAAGGACTGGCATTCCCATTGGTGATACACAAGAGCTTAACACACTTGCCAGCCCTTCTTGCATCTGGACAGCACCAAGAATGAGAGTGCTTCAGACATGCCCTATGACAGCCAGGAAAGGTCTTGGCATGTGATATTGATGGTCCCAAGAACCCACAGATGAGAAGTAACCCCACTTGTCATGTGCACAGAGAAAAACTTTCAGTCTTTTCACTCTAGGGGCAGAGATACTGTGACTTACAAGCCACAGGAGCACAGGTTGCTGGGAGAGCAAGGCATGCACATCAGGAACTCAGAACTAGACCACTTAAGAATGCAATTTCAGAAGTTTCAATATAGCCCAGGGTTTCATAGTGGACTGGTGACCAGATTAACTCAGACAAAAGAAATCTTCTCCCAGGGACAGGGAAGAGTTCACTGGCCAAATTTACCTCTGTGCTGCATGTTAGTTCACCTACAAGACATATGTGTAAGAGGAGGAACTGCCTGTTGAGCTCTCACAACTGTCAGGAGACAACTAGGGAGTCTTAAAGGAACCTCCTCTAAAGAACTTTGACAAATACTCTGCAGCTCTTGGCTGGTGTCAGGCAGGCAGGGGTGGGGCACAGGCTGGGTGAAGACCACAAACCAGAGGAGAAAACAAGGGCACAGCCCAATCACCCTCCCTTGCTGTGGTTTTGCAATGGGTGTATCTTTGGCACAGCAGTGAACACCAGCCTCTCAATTTTCTATCAGAAACCATCAATAGCCAGGGCTCACTGTGAGCGTCATGGGCAGGGACACATCAGGCCATGCTGTTGGCATAAGCAAAGGCTGCAGTGGAAGGCACCAGATGACTGCAGAGGATGTTCAAGCTGTGGGGGAGGCCTGGCCTGAAAGCCTATGAAAATCAAGTAACCTGAACCTCTGGAAGTCCATGAAAATTAAGTAACCTTGAGCTTGAGAGGTTCTCTCCATCTTTGCTTCACTCACACCTCCAAAGGGTACCCAAAGTGGGATAATCCCCATTGTTTTCTACCCATTCCTTTCATGTTTTTAAGAACACGCTGGGATCTTACAGCTGTACAGGCTGAGTAGGCTCTGTCCTGCTGGAATGCCATGCTATGCAGTATTTTATTCTGACCAGTTCCTTTTACAGCTTATTTCACAGCCACATCCACAAACAGATCATAGATGGGAGAAGCAAACTGCATGCAAGTCTCAAACAGTTCCTGTTTACCCAGGCACTTACTCTATTTACACCTCAGTAGCTACCAGGCACTCCAAGAGACATTAAGGTCTTATGACAAAACACAATAAGGCACAGTCCCCACCCTGTGATGTCTGACATCTATACAGAAGGCAGGAAAGCTGCCTCCATTTCACAAGCCATAGGTAGACATGATTTGAGCAAGGTCACAAAGTAGCATCATAACCCAGTCAGGAACTGAGCCAAGATCTGGTGCATTCAGGTGTCAAATTCTCAACCCAAGACCACCATTCACCCATCTCATCACAGGAAGTTTAGAACACACCAGACTGGTGTGTGACTGACTGGCTGCCCACAGACACACTGTCTGTTAAAACCCTGACCACAAGCAGCAAATCAAGCTCAAAAGGCACCATATACTAAACCTCCAATTGGTATCCTGACTCCAGCTGCCTTTGTCAGGATTAGATTACACCTTGGATTTCTCTCCAGGACAAATTTTATAGTTTTACATAGTGTTTGCAAACTACACTGAACTTCATTATACTGTGACTGTTTCTGTCTGTCCTCTGTAATGAGCTGCTGTAACATTTTATAATGTTGCAGCCAGTTTATATCCACACAGAGGAAAAACACAAAGGAGAGGGCAACAACATAGCAACTAGCCAGCAAAAAAGAATCTCTTTCTACAAACTCCTAAGGACACAGCTTCCTCTCCTGACCTGTGCTTTGTCTCCAGAAGCCTGGAAGTCTCATTTAAATAGGAAAGGAATGACAAGACTTTGCCTTTTAATAAAGCTCCTTGCTGACAAGCCATGGTTTTCTTAGCAAGCAAGAGAGTCTCTCAAGGACAAAAAGAAGAAAAAAAAAATATTAAAATTTTTAAAGTACTGCTGAAAGATTTGCTTGCAATATTAAAAATACAAGTAAGCTACATTAGCAGCAAAAGCCATATTCAGGAGGACATATATTTTAGATAACTCCTACCATGTAAAAAACACTTTTAAAAAATCCACTCCAAACTTTCCAACAAAATTGTCTTCCATTTCCAGAGAAAGAGAAGCTATCTTCTCCCTGACCTTCAGTAGCCATTTACTCTGGTCCCCCTATAATTTTTAACAGGCGACCTTTCCTTTCTTGGCCATAATTATTAGTCTCTACAAAGTTAAACCAGCTCCTCAATCATTATTTCATCACTTGAGTGATTAAAACCAAACACAGCTGAAATAAAGGTGGTGGATTTAGCAGTACAAGAATCAAAACCCTTCCTTGCCATAGCCTTTCCAAAGGTATTGGACTGTTGTGTTACCTGCCTCTGTAGTTCCCCACGGCTGGACACCTCTTTCCTCTGCTCACACAAAATACCATTCAGCTCTTTGCTTGGCCTTCATAAGCTCCACTGTGCCTGAGAAAGCAAAGGGCAAAACCGAAACAAACTTTGCCCCCCATAAAACATTCTCATCCCCCAGTAGAGACCTGAAAATGTATCAACACTGCATTCCACTAGCAAGATTAGACGCACCGATGGTGAACCCTGGAGTAGCAGGACATGTCAAGGACCAGGCATTTGCTGGTCAAGACTTATGATTAAATCTTGCAAGCGTGTGCATTTTTACATCATTTTGTTTCCATGATCATTCTCTCCAAAGCCACTCCCCATTTTATAGATGGGGAAACTAAGGCAGAACAGAAGTAACACACAAAGTATCACTGCAGTGTGATGGCAGTCAAGAGCTGGATCCAAGGACCTGTCACTGTCTAAGCACACATGATCTACACCCCACTCAGAACACACAAGTCAGTTCTACAAGAGCCCAGGCCAAGTCTTGCCTGGAACACATCTCCATCAGACACATGGGGCAAAGAGCAGAAACGCTGCCAGAGGAGCCAGACACCTCCTCCAGCCTCCCATGTGCACAGAGCGCTGGGCCGCTGCAACCCCAGGCACCAGAGAGAGAGGGGCGAGCACAGCAGGCCCCGGTGCCACAGCAGGCGAGGCAGGGAGCTCAGGTTGCACCTGGGCCTGCCAAGAGATGCTGCGTGAGACCGCACTCAGTGTTCACGTCCTGTGCGCTCAGATACGCTCGTCCTTCTGATTATTCCCCTTCAATTTTCTCTTCTGTGAATAAACTTGTTTAAAATAAGCACGGAAGCGTGTGCACCGCTTGAAACCAGCAGCACCACCCCAAACCCCCAGGCCTCCCCGGCCTGCACC